AGAAATATTTCACATGCTTGTAGGATCAATCGTCACCATTTCTTACAGCATTGCTTTAACTAATCTCAAGAATTCATTTGTATTTCTCAATAAGGCCAAAGAGATTTGAATCAGACACAATTTTTAGAAAAATCAGAATAAAAGGCCCATGACTAATTATTTAAAAAGAATAATGAAATCTGAATAAAAATACATATAATATTCTATAGAATCATTCTGTTATTTATACTTTTGAAATTCAAAATAACATTCCACATTTATTCTAAGTGCATACATTAAAATAATAGTTCTATTCCATAATATTATGAAATGTTTAGAGGCACTGATGATCATTAAAGTGAAAGTTTCCTTATAATCTTAAAAACATGTACTTACTGGGAAGAAAATGCTTCATTCTAACCACAGTATACATCAAGGCGAGACAGAAGACTCCCAGGATCCCAGCAATGAGCTTCTCTGGAGGTGATTTTGAATCTGCAGGAAGAGAAATAAAAACACTGAAAAAGGAGAGATGGAGACAACTGTTTAGACAGTTTACCACATGGAATTATACATGTACTGGGGGTGCCAAAAAATGTATACAAATTTTAAGAAAGGAAAAAACTATTAAAATAGTAATACTCAATATATAACAATAACAAAAGATGAATACTAGTCACGTTTGACTTTTGCAATTACAAAAGGTGCTCATGGTGGTTACCATCAGCATACAGACACTTCTGAATACAGTGAACTACTGCTTGAGCAACGTTGACCAAAGTGTCCACTTGTATACATTTTTGGCACCCCTGGAATGTAAATTTGTACCACAAACCCGTATCCCCCATTGTAATCTTTCTTTCAGAATATGCCATTACATTTTCAAGAAATACAATGTTTCATGAATTGTTGGTCAAAGACTGCACCTTACCATGATGCTTGCATAAACTAGTCCTCAGATTTCATATTAGAATACTGTAATCCAACTTCAACCTCTGATCCTCACTAATTAAAATACGTGAGCTTATTCCCTACTGTTTCCCCACATCTCTGCACCCAGCTGCACATCCTAGAACAGTTATACTCTGGGTTTATTTAATGCTTTACCTTTGTAGTTGTCATTCTTGTCGTTCACTTGATGATCCTGAGAAGCATTATGAAGGTTTAATTCCACATTGGATATTTGCTGTTCAAACAGTAAAACGGAGCTTTCCATGTCCTTGCCTTTTGGTTGCTGTCTCTTTGAGTCCTTAGCCAGATTCCATTTTGAGTAGTTCTCTAGTTGGATATCCATATCTGCAGCTGAGTAATGTCAGGTATGGTGCCTGTGATCACTTTACTTAAGTAGTTAATAAATCATGTGAATAATGGCAAGACTCCTAGGCTAGTCAATGTAGGTGGAGTGTGAGATAAGTCACAGTACGCATTTTGCAGTTGACAAATGTGAGGTTGTATTCTAATTTTCTTAGAGCTTTATTAAGTGTTTCATAACAGAAGACTAGTGCTTAAAATGATATTCTATGTTTGACAAGATATTATTGGTTAAAGCAATGAAAAGTAATACATTAGGAATAAAGAAGTTCATGAATAATATCTTTATTAATCTAAAGTCAGATACCACTGAAACATTTTAACACCATAAGAATAACTGTGTGCAAATTAAATTGTTGTATAGAAAAGGAAGTGATGCGCCAATAGTTATGACAATTTTTAAATCCACTAATGGTTAAAGATTGAGTGTTCTAAAGTTGGGGCAATAGTAGTGCTAACATATATAGTAATTTCCTGCACTAACTTTTATTTAGTCACTTACATTCATGTATTAAAAGGGAAGATGAGGTATAATCAATGATATTGTATTTTTAACAACTGGAATACTGATACATCATTAAAATGTTAAAGAAATATTTTACATGTTGAAAAATGTTACATGACATTAAAGTTATCCAAAACTTAATAAATAATAAAAACAATACAACATAAAAAGATTTTTTAAAATATTTATTTTACACAAGTAATTTGTAATTTATTTAATGGGTAAGATTTGAAACCAGAAATGATAAATAGATGTGTACATCATTTATGGAGGAGCAGTTTGGGTGCCAACTTCCAGAAAGATTATGGTTGTCAAAGTCAGTGAGAGAAGCTTTAGTTGTGTAAGCAAGTGTAATAAATCAGGAGACATAATATAATAATTTAGTCCAAGGGCTCTGCCTTCAGTGAGATCTAGAATAAATTCTGGCTTTCAAACTTACAATGTATGACCTTTAAAAGTTACCTAGTATCTAGCAACCAAGTTTACTATTCTAAAGGGGGAACAAATATATATAAGATATAATGCAGGTAAAACAAAATAATCATATGTATAAACTCTCAGTAATATGTTACATACTTTAATTATGACTTTCATACATTTTCCATGTTACTACTTCTGATTCATATCAGTTAGACATTGTAACAGAATTCATTAGACAGGAGTCACTTTGGGATGTGTTTTTATGTTTTGTCCAATTTTTTAGTAGTCTTTTGATTTTTTTATAATTAAGTTTAAATAAGGATTTTATGGATGTCACCTCATCCTGATTTTTATTGCAAGTCAAACTAATTTTTTTATTCAAAGTACACCTATGAGGCATTAAGTTTGACCTTCATGATATGATGAATTAATTTTAAGAATGAATTTTTTCATAGACTGACTAAATATAAAATAACATACAGACATAACTCTATCTATGAATTACAAAATCCAAAGTTAACTGTTCCCTGTCATGATGTGTATAGGATTTCACTTTAAGTCATATAGATTTATAAACCCAATTATGCATGTGTGTATGCTCATTAGTAATTTTCTACAAGCTAACAACTGAATATTTGAAGATATCCCCAAACATATTTCATATTTTATTCTTCTTTTTACTCTGAATTGTACAAATCGGAATACCAATGCTTTCTTTGATTTGATTGCATATTAATTATACCTCAGCTGCATCACATCTAGCATTTATCTCCCACTATGTGAGATGAGCTAACCGAGAGACAGGAGAGTAGAGACACATACCTTGTTTAGGCCAGAAAGTCATGCAGCCTTTAGTGGCAGAACAAGTTACCCCTGTAAACAAAATATCCGTGGTCTTCACAGGCTGCATGTGAAGGCTGAGAGTGAAGCAAAAGTGGACAAAGTAGGTATTTCACCACTATGTCACTTTAGGTTTGAACAGGAAATTCTTACACTTTGGCTATTTTGAAGACAGTTTATCTTATCACACACCTTCACAATACAGGAGACTCTGAGCTTGCCATTTAGTTTGTCCATTGGCAAGTGNTGAATGAATTGCAAAAATATCATATGGGCATGAAAGGAGGCACATATAATGCATACTGAATGACCCCTGGTACATAAAGTTTAAATTTAAGAAAAGAAAATTTAGAATATTAAAAATAAGAATAGTGGTTAAGTGAGCGGGGAGGAAAAGATGTGAGAGAATACAGAGGAGGGGGCTATTGTGGACTGGAAACTTCTATTTCATGATCTGATTTGTAACTACATGGGTCCTTCCAGTTTATAATCAACCTGCACAATCATGATATGTTTAGTTTCCTTGATATAATTTAAAATGGTTTAGCAAAATGAAATTGCAAAGTTATTTTACATGAAAAACATTTACAGAAGCATGGTTGTCTATGGACAGTAAGAACTAGAAAGTATTAAATGTGAATGAATGGCATGAAATAAAAATAAAATATTAAAGAGTTAAACAATAGAATATTAACAGGCTTTAAAATAAACTACAAATGTATATTAAAATATAAATGTATACTACAAATATAATGTAGGCCAAATAATCTTTTAATAAAATATAGGAAACATTTAAAATCTTACCATTTCTTCTTCATTTTCTATATAAAGCAGGTTAGAGTTCTCGGAAGCACAGGCCATCTGACTCTCAGTCCATGCTTTTCTTTCAGTGCCAATGTAATAGCAATTATTGGAATATGTAAACCACTCGTTTGGACCACAACCACACTGATATGCTGAAAATTATTATTAAAAAACAATTTTAATTAAAAAAGAAAGTTACCTATTTGCATAACTATAAACATGCATGTGCATAATATTGCTATGCACCCTCACAGGCTGGTACATATAAAACAAAACAGAATCACACAAACTCACAGACAAGGGTCAGCCTCTCACCCCCTAAATTATGTGCCCAAATAAAGAAAACACACAAACATAAATATCCACACCAACACATATCATGAAAGTCAATGGACAAAACCACCTTTTTAGAATAGCAAAATTATTTGTCTCGTAGTATAGGAGGAGGAAATGTAAGCCAATCGGCAATAACGGAGCGGATATGGTGATTTAAAATAAACCTTTCTTCATATTGCTCCATAAGAAGGAGAATTCTCCTGAAGTTATTACTTATGAACATTTATTACCCAATATGTAATTTATGTATTCCAAAAAACCCTATTATTATTTTTGCCTACCCTGAGTTACAGAAAAACTATAAACTGTACTAATATCAGAGCTTTGAAAATCATTCTGTACCTTTCTGGATCCCTGTTGTCAAAGGAGAATTTT